TACTACTACCACCCTACCACTCACAGTAATTAGAATGTGAAACCACTGTTTGCAAGTGGTTTAAGATCTTTGGCTGAAAAGAGCTTTGCAAGGGCAAGCTGCAATTGCTACTGTGAGCAATTCCTCGGTCAGCAGATCAGAATTCCAAGGGAAAATGAATGACAAGAACTTGTCTCTAGTGACGTTTCCGATTGGCTAGGACTACCACCGTGGAAAAAGAGGCAAGACTCGCAGCACCCTGATGCTGACATACAGCAACGTGGCTGTTCATGCTCCAAAAGACCAGCTTCTGTCCCGAGTAGAGGCAGACATCACAGGGAACATCCTTCACCATTACAGAGCCAGTTGTCAGGTAAGAGCTTTTGTGTGATAAGTGTTAGGGGCCTTACCCTGAAGTTATAGCATTGCCTCTGAGTTTATAGAGAGAGGGCTTGTATTTTCTAAAACTCTCCTTTGAGCAATAATTTGTCACATAACTCAAATTTAAAACTGTAATGGATGGAGCGTGAGCTGTCACATGGTGTATCATTTTTGTTGCTCTTCTTTGTATTTTCTCTAGTTTCTCTATATTCTTCTGAAATTCTGTAGACCACAGCTACACAGTAATTCAGATGCGGTCAGACTCAGGCTATTCAGAATAACACTCTAACTCCCCTAATATGTATCTGTATCTAGCGCTATCTTTCGCTACCCAAGAGAGACTAGTGCTAGCTTGTATTTAGTTGATTTGCTGTCACTCTGTTTCTTGGACACACCACTTCCCTTACCTCTTATCTGTCTTCTTGTTTGTCTGTGTGCTCCTTATTTCTGTTCCCTAGGTGTCTGACTGCTGGCACTGACTCTCATCTCCGTGCAACCTCTCCATGTCACTTTGCTATTCAATTCTGCCCTGTCTGACTGAGACTCGCTTAGGCATTGTCAAAAACAGTTGAACCAAACTGATATCTTCTAGTACTTCACAAATGCAAATATTACATAGTATGGCCCCTGATATTGACCTCTACAAAACACCCCCTCTGGATACATTTCCTGCCTTTTGGA